CGCGCCAGACGCGAGGACAGCCCCGGGTCCGGAGCAGGACACGGTCCTCTCCGGACCTAGGAGACGCGAGGAACGGCCGGAACGCGAAACGTTCGGTGTTGAAGGCAGAGGATTTGGGGACCCCCTTCCCCCACGCGCCCCGCCCTCAGCTGCACCTGTGGCTGAGGCTCCCAGCGCCAGCCGCCCGGGGGCACTTGGGGGGCGGGTTGGAACCCACCGCGCTGACCGCTGAGTTTTCCCTTCGCCTCTCGACTCCAACGATAGGGGGTGACCAGGAGCCCGGCTCTGCGCGCCACGCTTCTGGGTTCTCCGGAGCCAGCGGACGCAAGAGAAAGATGCGCCTTCTGTGGGGAGGGGGCTTGCCAGGTAGTGGAGATTCTGGCCATTGAAGGGGGCGGGGGCAGCCGGGTGTCGCTGCCCGACGTCCAGCGCCAGAACAGCAGGGAGCACGCCGGACCTGCCGGGTGTCCTCAGGGAGCTCGCACGTCCCACGTCCCGGCCGCGCGGCCCCCTGAGTGTCAGCCCCATTTCGGTGGCTGCATTTCTGTAAAAGGAGCGTGAAAGTAGCTAATGCTGCCGTGGTGCTCGCCATTCGTTCTGAGAGCTCGCCACGTATGGAATCCAGTTCCCCACAGCAGCCTCTACGCGGTAGATGCCCTTATCCCACCGGAGCGCGAATGGGGAAACCGAGGCACGGCGTGTTTTCCCCGGAGGTGATGCGGCTGCGTGGTGCCGCCCCAACTGGGCCGAGCGGAGCCAGTGCCCTTTCGCGGGGCGCGAGTGCACCCTCCCCGCAGCAGGGCTCACGCGTCCCTTCTCAACCCCAGGCCCGGAGCACTGGCACCAGAGCTTCCCCATTGCCAAGGGCAAGCGCCAGTCCCCTGTGGATATCGACACCAAAGCGGCCGTTCACGACTCCTCGCTGAAGCCTCTGCGTGTCAGCTACGAGCAGGCGACTTCTCGGAGGATCCTCAATAATGGTCACTCTTTCAACGTGGAGTTCGATGACTCCCAGGACAAAGCAGGTCAGTGTTTAAAAAATAACCCGCGCCCTTCGGCCAGTAGCCGGTTTCCCACCTGAACCGGGGCGGGGCTGGGGGGGGGGCAGTGCGGATCCCCCTTCCCAGCCCAGGAAGTGCTGCTCCGGGCGGGGACTTGCACAGGGGCCCGGCCCCCGGGAGCGGCCGATCACCCCGAGGTGAACGGGGCTGCTTCTCCCCCCAAAGCCCTGCTTGCTGTCTGTGCCGGGCGCTGGGGAAGGGAGGCGAGCCTGTGCAGTCACCGGAGGCAGGGTCCCCTGGCAGGAAAGCCCGCAGCGATGGGATTTGCAAAATCGGAAATTTTAAGAGTCTTTCGAAAACATGTGTTTTCCAGAATTGATGCCTGTGCAGTAAAAAGTTATCTGAGTCAGGCAGCAGGGAGGAGTGATGAGCACCTGACCATTTAAAATGCTGAAACTCTTGGAAACATCGTACTTATGGGTATTTTCTGGGCGTTGGGCTGGGGTGACGGAGGTGACAGTGTATCTCGGTGTCTACGCAGAAATTCATTCCACAAATGAAGACGTTTTAGAGTTGGTAGATCACTGGGCCGTTACAGACAAAACCAGTTACCATCATTTCCTCGTAACGAGCTGTTGGCAGCATGCCATTGCATTCTTTTTTTTTTTTTTTTTTCATATTTAGAACTAGAATACCCTCATTCAGACCTCGGAGCGGCCTTCTTTGCCCGGGGTTGAGTTTATTGCCAGTGACCTATTTTCCCAAGCGCTTTCCTCTGAAGGTCACTGAACGAACGCGATGCAAACTCATCAGGCTTGCGGGCGGGGTGGGGGTCGGAGCCCTGGAGCAGAATGAGACCCCGCAGGGAAAACGTTGCACGGGGCTGTCGGGATTCGGCCGCGGCGGCTTCCGGCGCAGACACGTACGTGCAGCTCTAACTGTCAGGCGGGCTCCTCCTTTTCGGTACCTATCCAGCGATTCAGTACAGTCTCGAAAAAGATTCTTCTTCCCCTCCTCCCCACTTTCCAAAAACCTTTGACACTTGGCTTTATGAAAGGACGATTCGGAAAGGCAGTTTGGTGGAGGATCATGCAGAGATAACAGCCCAGTGCGCACGCGCACGCGCATCCTGGAACAGGGTCAGGACTGACCAGATTTCGAGTATCAGACTGAGTGGAGGAGACAGGTCCTCGAGGGCTCTGCTAAGTCGCGCCCCAAGCCCGCCTCCCCCTCCAAAGGAACAACGGTCCAGTGATTAAGTTGAATGTAAGGGAAATAATGCCTTTCCTTCACGTAAACAAGGTGATGTGTTTAGATTATGATAGCACAAGGCCAAAGGTCTGGGCAGTATTGGCCGTATAGAAAGGACGCTATATAATTTGATGTTTAGTTATGTAAAAACAGAAAGAAGCGAGCTACTTTAGTCTGTAGCTGTCAACTTTTTTTTTTTTAAGAGGCAGATCGAATGTATGTTTCAGCGTTGCTAGTAAAATCATTGTTTTCAGTGGGTGGACAAGTTACACGCCTCATTGGATGCTGCACAGAATCCAATATAAAATGATATGCCAGCCGAGCACTTCGAGTCTGTTCGGGAACAATGACGAAACAAGTGTCTAACGAATGGAATCAGACGAGGTGACTCTCTGCGCGCCTTATAAATTTGATCATAAAATAGATTGTTCCAGGACTACATGTCCCCGGGAAGCAGACTTTAAGCATTTCATCTGGCAACTGCGAGCATAGACCAGGGTCACACAGACCTGGGGTCAAGTTCCAGCTCTGCCACCAAGTAGCCCGGCGGCCCAGGGAATGACAATAACCCGACCTCTCTACATTTTCGTTTTCTTAACTGTAAAATTGGAGTGACAGTAGCACGGCGCCACAGAGGACAGATTAACTGGGACAGTGGACACAAAGCGCCTGGCCCAGGGCCTGGCACGCAACGTGCCTCAGGAGGGGACCGTGGCTGTTGTCATGTCTACACACCGTCTGACAGTTTTCACTGGCTATAGCTCTCATGCCTCTGATAAGATTTCTAAAGAAAGTTTTGAATGAACTGTAAGATTACCTCTCATCGCTTGATGGCTTTTTAAAAATTTTATTTTTCTGTGCCCCTGCACGTCCCATTTGTCACAGGAAAGCATGTACTGATTTTGCATGGCGTTATTCTATAGTTGCACATCTGACCATGAATCTGTCAAGTTCTGATGGATTTCTGCACGAGCCGTGACTAATGGGAGTCAGGCACATTTTCTAACTACTTCTCGTGGCATATTATGAAAGGTGGCCACGTTTAGGTTGTGAAACATGAAAACCAGGTGGTCTAGTTGGGGGCTCAAACCCATGGTTTTAGAGACAGATGTATTGTTCACTTAGTTCTTAGATTAAAACAAAAAAAGTCCTAACTCACACGATGCGATGCGTGATGAGCTAGGCACCCAGGGCAAGAGGCCGGGTCCCCCCGCCGGACCCGGAGCCCACAACGGGCGTGCCCGAGTACAAAGACGTGGAAGTCACTTTGCCAAGTGCCACGAGGAAGTGTCAGGAACGATGGAGACGCAAGGAGACTTTGGGAGCGGCCTGAGTGAGTCAGGCCCGGGGAAGTAAGGCCTAGGCCGAGACGCGAGGGCTCTGGGCGGCTCCGAGGGGCCTCCGGGCAGAGGAGGTAGGACATGGGGACTTGAGAGAGCACAGCGCCTGCTCTGGGCAGACAAGGGAGCGGGTAAACAGGAGGCAGAGTAAGAGGGGAGGAGCGGACGGTGGAGGGAACTGCCGTCCTTACCCGTAAAAGCCTCCTTCAGAATTGTGTCCACTCTCTCAACATTTTTGGTAGTGTTGGTTAAACAAGGAGGCTTTTTTTTTTTTTCTAGAATGCAGACTATATTAAATACAGATATTAAGGGAAAACACATTTGCAGAATTAAAAAAAAAAAAACAATTCTACCGTTCAGAGAAACACTCTTTAGACCTTTTTTTTTAAAGACCCTAGACTCTCAACTTGGAGGAAACGGTAGAGATACCTCTAGTCAAACCCTCTTAAAATAAACATGAAGAGACGATCGCCTGAGGTCAAGGAGCTTGCTGGTCGTCTCCTTCCCCGTTCGCTGCAGTGAGACCAGATGACAGTCACCTAGGAGTGGGGGTTGGATGTCTCTTTGAACGATAGCCACAGCTAAAATTTGTACGTGTGCACATGTGTGTACATGCCATGGTTCAAAAAACCGATGTGCTTTTCTGCACACTTAAGTCTAAAAATAATGTCTCATTTTGGTCATTCCATTTTTTTTAAATCAACAGTCTAACATTACTTTCTGTTAGTTGTGTTTTGTTAACATTTTTAGATGTCCTTTGCCACTTATTTTCTACTTTAAATCCTTCGGTTCATTTTCTTCCTCCGCCCTCCACCCCCCACCCCAGTGAGATTTCAGCCTTCTGGAACTTCTCATAGACTCAGATTTTCAAATATATTCTAAATGTTATCTTCTACCAGAAGTTAAACACACTTGGGGATCAGGAACTGAGCTGGCAGAATTCATTGCTATGTTTCAGCTTGAGAGAATTCTTTTTAAATGCGGAGTTAATAGGCTGTAACTAGCAGCTTGGGATAAAGCTCTCATCAACCTTCCAAATTCCTTTAAAAATAAACCTCCTTAAATTAATGAAAAATTGTTAATCCTGTTAGGTTTTTTTAAATTATTATTATTAAAAAATAACTCTCCCTGCTTGAGATCTTTTATTATGAGCTTTCTCTGAGAGAAAAGAATGGCAGTCAAGTTTACTAACTCCTGCTAACTTATTAACTTTCATTAATGAGTTTAAAACGCTTTTGCTTTATTACGGAGTTAGAGGCAAATATCATTGAAAAATTATTGCCCGGAACATTGAGTCAACCCATATCCACCCTTCACATTATTTCTGCTTTGTTTTTTGTGTTTTTTTTTAGAGATTAGAATTTTTTTATCTTTTTTTATCAATTCAAGAACAAGGGACTGGGCTCAGTTCAGGCAGACTCTGTGTGATACACTAGCCCCGTCCTTGGTTTCCAGGGACTTGCTTTTAAAGCTTTAAACATCCTTCCCACAAACAACCTTAGGCTGAAAGGAAACAGAACAGCAAGCGACAGACAGGGCTTGTCACACGTACCCAGCAGGACCGGCGAGGGAGGCCTCAGCGCCGGCTCCACTGGCGGACGCTGGGTTTAATGATGTTCACGCCAGAGGCTGGATTTTTTCCCTCTCGTGTAATTGTCATATGCCAGAAACTAAAAACGCGTGTTCTCTTGGATTTTAATGGTGTTTACTGTACTCGACGTGACAGCTAAACATTTCACTCCTTTAAGAGAAGAGGAAATGTGGGCGTCTTTTTTCTCAGATTTGTCTGCACCGACGTTCATTTCCTTCATTTTAGCGTGTAGCCCTGGGAATCTTGGCTGCTGCCAAAAAAGCGAAGCGGTAATGTGTGATTTAGTACTTTTCCAGCTATTCATGGAGAAGACCATTCACCTGCTGGGAGTTTTCTGTTTTTAGTGGACTTATTCATTTACTTCATTAATAGGAGAGCCCTTCCATGTTAATTTTAAAATAGATTATTGGGGATAGTTTATTTGTGTTTTGGATCTAAGAGAAATTATTGACATCCATGAAGGTCTTTAAGTTTGTTATTTGGATGCATCTTGTATTAAGTAGTAATAAGATGATTAGGAAGAAAAAACTTTTTAAATGATAAATTTTCAGTTTTTGGTTTGTATAGGTCGTCCGATTTATTTTAGTACGTCAGGAGTGAATATCTTATTTTCACAAGTAGCATATACTTTGTGTAATTTTTCCATGTAATCTGTACAGGAAGCCAGATTATAATATACTTTGTACTTATTTTGAGTTTTATATATATAGTTTATACAACTGAGGGCAGATCGTGAAAATTAAAGTCAGCTGGACCACTTGGTATTGAGATTTGGATTTAAATTAAGTTTAATAGAAAATCCATTTCTGTTTTTTCCAAGCCTTGTGGGACTTCTTTCTGTGGTACAGTAAATCACTGACTCTTCAGACCCCCTAGCAAGGCAGAGCCCCTTTACAGAGAAAAAAAATAAAATAAATGCCGCCAGCAGTTTCTGGTCTCTTTAAAAATTATTTTTGCATTAGGAAAAACAGGTTTCATTCTAAGTTGGAGTCATTTAGAAAATAGTATGTGGCAATCGAAACAAGTAAATAACTAAATAGATCTGGAATATAGCATCGGCTTCCCGTTTTTCAACCAAATATTGTCTTTTCTATTTTTCAAATAAAAAGACAGATGCTACCTTCATTCAAGTTTACGGCAATTTATTATTATAACAATGTTTTTGAGAGACTTCATTGACTAGACTCTGCGCTAACCATTTGCTGAGAAACAACCAATTAGTCGAAGAAGACAGGAAATGCTGCTTTTGAAAGCGATTAAACCTTAAGAATTTAATAATTTTTAAAAATTACAACGGGCTTCCAATCTACCTAGTAACATAGTTTTATTTTAGTAGGAGCTAAAACACAGGTATCTGGTATTAATGGGTTAGTTAGCACAAATCCGATTAATCATTTTATTATTTAATAAAAGCTCATACACATTCCTGCCTAATTCTAAATGTTATTTGAAATAAGTAAATTAGGATGGAATCTTAGGGTCTGTAAGGGAATGAATAAGGATAAGAAATAGCAACAAGCTTTGTTATTCTTTTAATTTTAAGATTCTCATAATTATTCTTCGCAGGGAAAGGAGATAAATTTAGAAAGATCAGTTATCACAGATGCTTAATATGATTTTATGCAGCTTGCTTTGCCACTTGGTAGAATTAACAATGTTACAAATGGTTTTTATGATCAGCTACTCAACGACTTTAAAAAGTTATTATAAAGGAATTAGTTTCAATATCAATTTATTTCATAAACGTATATTTTGTTTTAAGGGTATTTCATGAAAAATAAGAATTCTCTCATTTTAAAAAACTTATTTGGGGGAATAAGGCTAATTCTTTCCTTATAGAATTATCAGATTAAAAAAAAAACTTTTACGATGTTATTTTTAAGCTTCAAGAGATATGATTTTATCAGAACACATGCAAATGAATGTTCCTTAACAGATCTACAATGTAACGCCATTTATAATTTTTTCCATTTTTTTTTTTTCTCCTGGCCTGTTGTAAGGCAGAGCGGGCAGCCGGAAGCTCCCCTAAAATGTCTTGCCTGTGGCTTTAGCTTTTCTTTGAGCAGAAGTGTTGCTACCCTTTAAGCATATTTAGGTGAAGTCAAGTCAGCAAACTTGGTTGCAGGTACAGACTTTGTCCCGTTGTTTTGCAAAGCCAAAGTAAGTTTGGGCTCATCATTTTCCGGAATTATAAACCAAAGCTAATAAAATACACTTATAGGAATGTGTTTTAATCCTAGGTCTAGAGAAATAAAATTGAAATAGTGGGACTAAACTTGTTTCAAAAGCTTTAAAATATATCGGTTAAATCCCATCCACACGTATAAGTTTTGGGGAGGGCGGGGAAGCAGTGATCTCTATTTTAATCCTCCCTTGAAACACAACTCCTTAATCATCTGCAGACAGACTGTGGTCCGGCGTGGCCATTTCCAGTGCTGACTTTACTGGGACCGGCTCCGTCAATGCCGTGGGGCGGTTTTTGAAGTTAGAATTTTAAGTTCTGGGAGACACTGGAGCCAGCGCTCCGCAGCGCATGCGGTGGGCGATCGGTGAAGTCTGAGGGAGGCCGTGGGCGATCGCACCCATTTTACGGACGAGGGAATCCAGATCAGAGAGGTTAAAGAGAGCATTTTAAGGGAACCAAGCTGGTTAGCAGCGGCGACCACCCGAATTCCAAAGACTTTGGAAAATCGGATTTGGCACTCTTACGACCAAGGATGCTTCCAGCGCAGGGCCGGGGGCGCCGCCAAGCCCCAACGTATGCAGGGGTGCGCGCGCAGCACCCTGGCCAGCGCCCGGCACGCCCCAAGGACAGCTGGCAGGGGAGTGTCACTGTGTTGGGAAGACGCACGGGAAGGCACCCATCCTTCACCCGACACACACGAGGGCAGAAACTGTCGAAACAATGTCGTTCAGCACTGGACCAAACCTGAGTCTGGATTTCATTTCAGGTCGAAAATATTGCTCCAGGCATAACTTTAGTAGGATAAAACCGGATTAAAAATGGTGATATTTAGGAGCGTGTGTGTTTCCTGTGCTCGCAGATGGGTAGGTGTGTGTTTACCTGTGTGCACACATACACGCACGTCTTTTCACCTTTCAGTGCTGACGGGAGGGCCCCTCCAGGGCACTTACAGACTGATTCAGATCCACTTACACTGGGGCTCATGCGACGGGCAAGGTTCCGAGCACACTGTGAATCAAAAGAAATACTCGGCAGAGGTAAGACACGCTCTTTTCTTTCCAGGGGAAAACGTGAAGTGATATTTGGCATTAATTTCAAAAGCTTAATTTTGTAAATTCGACTCACATCAAGGGGACCACTTCTTTTACAAAAGAACTTCACATGGGCTTGTCACCTTTATTCGTGGTATTACAGCTAATTTCTGCAAAACTTTCTCTACCACCTCCAAGGACACTGTTTGCACAAAGTAAATGAATTCAAATGGGGGGGGGGGAGGATCCTGTTTCAATATAAATCTAGAAATAGAGTTTGTGCGTTCCCTCAGAATATGCAACTCCTTGTCTTAGAGTTGTTGATGGAATCACTTGGCTACTGTGCCAAACAGTGGATAATTAGAATGAAAAGTTTATATTTAAAATTATCACATGGAACCAACCTGAGTGCCTATCAATAGATGACTGGATAAAGAAGTTGAGGTACATATATACAGGGAATATTACTTGGCCATAAAAAATGAAATCTTACCATTTGCAACAACATGGATGGACCTAGAGGGTATTACGCTAAGCGAAATATGTCTGACAAATACCATATGATCTCATTTATATGTGGACTCTAAAGAACAAAATAAATGAACAAACAAAACAGAAACAGACTCACAGATAGAGAATAAACTCATGGTTGCCAGATGGCTTGGGGGGATGGGTGGAAACGGGGAAGGGATTAGAAGCACAAATTGGTCGTTACAACGTAGTCACGGGACGTCAAGTCCAGCATAGGGAATACAGTCAGTGATATTGTAATGACTATGTATAGTGCCAGGTGGATACTAGACTAATTGGGGGAAATCACTTTGTATATTATGTAAATGTCTAACCACTGCTCTCTATACCTGAAAATAACATAAAATAATATTGTATGTCAACCCAAATTGAAAAATTAAAATAAAATAAAAAAAAAGATCCACTTCCTTCCTGTCTCCAGCTATGCAGCAGAGATCACTGGGGAGGGTCCGCCGGCTTTCGTGGGAAGTCACTGTCTGTGTTTTGTCTCCTGCTGCTGTAGCTCCACTTGGTTCACTGGAACACCAAGTACAAGGACTTTCGAGAAGCCGTGCAGCACCCCGACGGACTGGCTGTTCTGGGCGTTTTTCTGAAGGTTAGTGAATGGCCGGATTCTTTTTTCCCCCCGTTTTCAAGAAAAATGAAGCAGACAGAACATTTGTAACAAACAGAACATTCCGCCAAGAGCCTGGGAAACGCCGCTGGCTCTGAAATGATTCCAGGCCGGCCTTTCCCTCCTCACGGCTTTTGAGCATTTTCTCGTCCGGCTTTCCGGACGATAGTGCAGAACCCTGCGACCCGACCGGCGTTCTGTGCTCTGGCAGTTGGGGGTCACCGGCGACACTCGAGAGGGTCGCTCCAGGGGAACTGCAGGGGAGAGGCCGAGGGCGGCTGTCTGCACGGGGAAGTCACAGCGCCGGTGTAATCCGACCGAGACCCATGGGTGCCGAGTAACCAGTGGCGAGTTCGGTTCACTCTCTGGAGGAATTTTACGTCAAAGCGGGGTAGTCCCACCTGGCGTACTTGTCCCCTGTCTTCCCATAGATCGGCGATGCTAATCCAGGCCTACAGAAGGTCACCGATGCGCTGGATTCCATTAAAACAAAGGTACGTCGAGTTTGCTGCCGCCTGTGTAGGGCGCCGGTTCCCCACACCCCACTTGTTCTGGAAAGTTCTTTTGATCGACTGGAGTAGTCCGGGTTTGACCTGTGGTGTTTGGATGAGCCGTTAATGGAGGTAAAATACATGTTGCCTACATATTTAACTCTTCGTTATCCAAACGTTGATCCAGATGCTGGTCTCATGTTTAGCCTTCTCTGCTATGTAACCCCGCTTCCGCCCACTGGCCCGTCCGCATCCACGACTCGGAGACCCTCGTGAGCGCCGCGAGGCTGAGCGGCCATGTGGTCCAGCCACCCCCTCACCGGTGCAGCGGGCATTTGTCCGCACGCGCCGGGTGCGCGGCACGGCAGGACCTGGGAAAGGCCGTGGAGAACGCGGTGGGTGAGACCCCGCTCCTCGGCCGTTTCTGTTCTGTGCCCTCGTGGAGTTCACCAGGCCCGCGGTTCAGACCCCTACAGCACAGCCGCGTGCAGGTCACCTGCTCAAGCTTTGTGAAGCTGGAGCAGCCTGACTTGTGGAGTGCTCACCTGTCGCTCCTAGCTCGGCCCCCTTGAATCACGTAGAACAAACCTGACCCGAAAACCCCAAGTCGCGAAGCTCTCTGCGCCACGTGCACTGCAGCAGCGTTCACAGCAGCCCAGGCGCGGAAGCAGCTGAGTGTCCCCCCCCCGGATGGACGCATAAAGAGGACGTGACATAGACAGCTATAGGGCAGCATTATTCAGCCACACAAACAGAAGGCAATCTTGCCTCGCGTGACAAGGCGCACGGGCCTCGGCGACACTGGGCTCAGGGGCGGGAGTCAGGTTCGCGCTCACATCCGTTGAGCCATATTTCCAAGTCACATGTCTCCCGTGAAGCCCTTCTGCTTTGTTTCCTGGTGAAGGCACAGCTCTCTCAAAGTGTGGGCTCCGAGGGGGAGATGTGGGGCTCTCCTCCCCGTCTTCCTCCGCCTCCGATCGCGGACTCTTCTGACCTGTGCGTTTGCCTCCGCCAGGGGAAGAGCGCCGACTTCGCGAACTTCGACCCTCGCGGCCTCCTTCCCGGCAGCCTGGACTTCTGGACCTACCCGGGCTCGCTGACCACCCCGCCGCTGCTGGAGTGCGTCACCTGGCTTGTGCTCAGGGAGCCCATCGGCGTGAGCAGCGAGCAGGTCGGCTCCCTAACCCGCAGGGGGTGCGGGCGGGACCCCGCAGGAGCTCGGCTTGCCAGTCCCAGGCTCGGGTCACCCTCCTGCGCTGCTTCTGGCCTTGCAGGCCGCGCCCGCGGGCCGAGCAGATAAAGAGCCTCGGGCAAACACCTGCTGTCGTTCACCAGAGCCTCAGGCAGTGTGTTTTACGCAGTAAAACTGGACACCGTGGAGGGCTGAACGAGAAAGGTGCCTGTCACCTTTGTGAACTGAGACGGCGGAGTCGCGGGGCCACGAGGGTTCACGCGCGAGGTCCGGCCCCTCGGCTGCGCCCCTGCCCCGCGCGGCCTCCGAGCACTAGGCGCTTC